AAAAGAACGGGATGAGAGAGAGAGAGAGAGAGAGAGAGAGAGAGAGAGAGAGAAGGAGGGGATGGGTGGGTAGGAGGGTGGATGGGAGGTTAATAGAGAAAGAGGGATAAAGAAAGAGTAAAGTTAGAGGAGGAGAGCCAACACGATGAGCGATGTCCTAGATGGACGTTGTGAACTGTAAATAGTCGTTACTGTGTTCAAATGTATTTTAATTCACATTGAACCACGTACATGTACTTCTTGATTGGTATCATTTTTTCATGTTCAACATTGTCGATGAGTCAAGAGTGGGATTTCTTCGACTCTGCCTATCAGGGCCAACCCAGAAAGGGTGAGGCATGCATGGCATTCCAACAGAAAGACAGATAATATACACTTATCTTGACAAAATAGACTTCCAAACACAGGGAATCGAACTCACATCATATGAGGGCAATGGCGAAGAACATCTGACGTCCACTGACAGATTGGCGTAAAAATTATTTCCTGATTTTGAAAAAAAAAAATACCCCCCCCCCCTCTAAAAAAATCCTTCTCGTTTATTATTTAATTTAGATATTTAGATTCGCCTCTTACGTAGTTTTACTATTTAAAAAACTATTATTTCTGATGTAGATTGATGCAAAGTCCTGCCTTTGACCCAGAAGGATATGGGCAAGAAATAGTGTAGTTTTGTCAGATACGTCGCTCTGGGACGCAGCATTATACATGATGTAGGCCTACCACAGACGCTGGTCGTTGCCATAGCCGGAGAGGAAACGGAGCAGACTAGATAACAAAGCTCTTAAAATTATCTACAATGCTTTTCATAATTAACATCATGTGGGAATAGTAACATATGAGTAGACAATTAACATGCCGTAAGATATTTCACAGGAAGCCCTCCCCGGATACACATAAGTAAACGCCTTGTTTCGCCCAGTCAATAAGCCTGGTATGTGACCACCATCACGTCGTAGGCCCACGTTCAGCGACACGATAGATAGGGGGCTCTCGTGGCCTGGAGGTTAAGGTGTTCGCCTCTCATTCATCAATAGGTCCTGGATTCGAATCCAGATAGCGACGGAATTTTTTCTTCTCTAAAATTTTCTCCTTTCACCTCCTTTCCTGCTCTCAAGCAATGTTCTGTCTGTCGTCTGCTTTCGTCCCTACTCTCTGCTCCCATTCCACTCACCACCTTTGCCCCCTCCTCTGGGCTTCGAACTCTTTCTGCAGCCTTTCTACTGCTTCTCCTTGGTTCCTTCTTACTGCTTTCTTTCAGCCACACCCATGATCTTCTGGTAGGAAAGATCTACACTTCGCCTTCTCGGACAAGGACGAAAAATATCGGAGTCCTGTGTGCAAGCTGCGCACGTTAAAGATCTCTTGGTTGTCTTAAAATCGACAAGAGTAGGCTTCGGCCGCCACCGGGCAAAATTCAAAATTTCATACCACCTGAAAATGTTTTACGGATCCAGCGCGCTTATATGTGCCCCCCCCCCCCCCAAAAAAAAAATACATACATAAATACATACATACATACATACATACATACATACATAAAAAAATCAAAATAAAAATAAAAATAAATAAATAAATATAAATAAATAAATAAATAAATAATTTTTAAAAAAATGAAATAAAATAAAACAAAATAAATAAATAAATAAATAAATAAATATAAATACAAATAAAAATAAAATAGATAAATAAATAGATAAAGAAATAAAGAAGGATTTGAGTATAGTTTAAATTGTATAATGTGCTTGATTGAATTACCCTTTGGGTATAATAATACGATATTGGATAACATGCTCGAGTGCCTCTTAATGAACAGAGATTAAAATTTTCTTTTTTAATATGCCTCATTGTTTCTGTTTTTCTTTTTTCTTTTCTTTCTAGTAGTCGTAGATCTATTCAAGGTATACTGTTAACGCAAGCTTTCAGAGACCTTTGACAATTAAAAGTCAATATAATTATAACATAATATTCTCGAAACTTCTATAATTTTGTTTTATCATCTCTTAAAAAGTATGTTTTATTGATTCAGAGGACCTAGGCTGTACCCCCCCCCCCTCCCCCCAAAAAAAAAAAAAAAAAATAAATAAACACCCAAAAAACACACACACAAACAATAAAACAAAAACAAACAAACAAACAAACAAAGAAAAGAAAAAACAAACCAAAAACAAAAACCCAACCAAACAGACAGACAGACAAACAAGAAAGAATCAGCCTTTATCCTGAGCTTACAAAAAGAGAAGCGACTCGTCTCTGTGGCCTTTGGTCTGCCGGTAATGGCGTTATCATTAGTGGTGCACTACTTGTGGACTCAAAGGCCGAGCCTGTGTCAAATCACTGCGACTATCTCAAGTGGATGAGTAGGGAGTGTGTGCGCGTACGGACAACCCACAATAGCACGCACTTTTTCAAAAAGCCGTCCTCTTAAGCAGGGGCATAAATGCACAATGCAGTTCTACTTTGAAATATATAAATTATTTCAGAACCGCGCACATTTTGTAACCAATGACTACATGAACATTTTTTGACGTGTAAAAAACACAATGTGTATCCTTTACCTCAAGATCCCATGGTAACGTTTTCGGTTCAAGCCCATTCTATAAGCCGATATTTCCTTCACACTTTAATTTGTTGTATTTTTTATCTTAGAAAAACCACAAAGTTTCAGTGACTATGGCTGACTTTTTAGTTCTGTACAAAACTGATTCAGGTCAATATTGCAAGTTTATGAGGTTCTTATTGTGATACCGTAGTGCAAAACTCAATTGAATCTGCTTTGTACATGTAGCCTACGACGCACAACGATAATGACGTAAAATGAATCGTTGAGCGAGATATCATTTTCCCATACCGTAGCCTTACTTATTGTTGTTTTTCTTTTCCATATTACAAAACGTAGATCTAAAATATGATAATTGTGCTTTTAGATCTATGTAAAGTTATCTTCAAGAGTTTTTGCGCGAACGTTACTGACTTACCGATACTGAAAAAGGTTGTGAGGGAAAGGGGGGGAGGTGCAGAGGGCGGGATGGATGTGTGTTTGTATGTGTGTGTTTGAGTTATGTGGGCTGGAAGACGGCATCTAACAACCAAAGAGCTCACGATGAGCTCACTGTGCTGTAGACATATTTACGCCAAAAGAACTATGACAGGTCGGGGGAGTGACACACATCGGAGTGTCTTCTTCCCTCTCTCAGTCCGTCCCCCCAGGGTAACGGGATGAGGGGAGAGGGGGAGAAAGTCAGAGAGAGAGAGACAGAGAGAGAGTGAGAGAGAGAAAGAGGGAGGCACGGAGGGACATGGATGTTTGCTCTCGAAAGAGAGAGAGAGAGAGAGAGAGAGAGAGAGAGAGAGAGAGAGGGAGAGAGAGAGAGAGAGAGAGAGAGAGAGAGAGATAGAGAGATGGATAGATAGATAGATAGATAGATAGATAGATAGATAGATAGATAGATAGAGAGATGGATAGATAGATAGATAGATAGATAGATAGATAGATAGAGAGAGAGAGAGAGAGAGAGAGAGAGAGAGAGAGAGAGAGAGAGAGAGAGAGAAAATAAAGGGGGGTAGGGGGGTGGCATGTCTGAGATGTGCCTCGTGTCAGTGTGGCTTTATTATAATCTAAATATTCACTCCACTTGTACACGGTCGGGTTGAAGTCCCCATCGTCAGAATAGTATAAAGTTTGTAATTGAAATTGTCATTATTTCACATTAAAATTTACTATGGCGTAATCTACCTTTTTATATTTTTTTCATTTATCATTTTTTTAAACGTCTCACTCCTTCAGAATAGTCTTCTTTTTTTTTTCAAAAGAACCCCGGTGTTGAACACAAATTAAGTAAACTTGCATAGCAAAACGTTTAGCCTATAGGCATAGGTAGGTATTACGAAAAACTAAGTTTTTGGTATTATTCTCAATAAGAAGAGAGTAACGCCACTGTTCCCACTAGGCTACGCTCATTTGATATTAGCCTATTTCCCCCCTCATGTTTCGCGCTTGTGCTTACCACTAGCGAGATGTGCCTGTCTCAAGTGGAACACGGAAGCCCACCGTCAACACACGATGGACAGCTCTTGAAAAAGGATGTGAGGCCTGGGCTAGAAATATCTGGGGCATTAAGAGTATTTTATTGCAAAATCAAATCAGAACAACACAGTTTAACAAATGAACGAAAAAGAAAAAGATGATTCTCGCGTTTTACTGAGTGGACTATAGCTAACATGACGTTTCCAAATGTACTGCAGTGTTACGGCCTATCAATATTACCGTTTCCTTTTAATATGAAATTTAATAAGATGTCGCCTTCTGTATTGAGTGTGTTTTTACTTAGCATCTTGTTGATGTGTGTTCATGGCTTCAACCTCGATCTGGAGAAAGCCAGGATCATTCCGGGACCGGCTGGTACCTTGTTTGGTTTTACTGCCAAATTCCGGAAAATGGAGTAAGTTATTCTTGTTGAATTTCAATACCGGTGACTCTTACATCCCCCCCCCCACACACACACCCTTAATTCTTCGCGCCCCAAATCAGACCGGAACACAGAAGCAAATAATTGATCACAGTATGGTAGCATTATTTTACTTTGCTCCTATTTGTCGGTACATGGTTATAATATTAGATCTAGTATGCTGTAGAAAAAGTCAATGACACAAGGTCTATATCGATGCTTGGCACTGACAGAGTTCAGGTCATTGCATGTGGTTGATCAGGGTATTATTTCCCTGACATCTGTATGTAGGCCTATCATTACTCTGTAGGCTAATACATGTAGGCTTCTTCGAGAATTTCAGTTGGCTCATTTCCAGAAGGCCCTAGAGTCTCAATGATAAAAATCCAAACTGCTGCTGGAACGACAAATTTAAAAGTAAAAAAAAAATAAAATCTCCCCCCCCCCCTAACCCCAAAAGCAACATTGATACTGGTATCTGTTATCCAGGGCGTAGAACAGATTCTTTACACATAATCACAGTACTACTGTACAGTCCGCAACTGTGCCACATTTTCGAAGTTTACTAAATTATCAGTATGGAGAGGGGCTGTTTTTAAAGAAGTGAAGGCATAAGCCCTTATACACTGCTATCACCATGTTTCGATTCTACGTGATCGGGTAGGCGGCCTACGTCTGGTTGGAAATTATGGTCACTCGATCGGCGTTTAAGAAATGGAAATAACAGCTCTACCTGTATATGATAACTGATGTTACGCCCGTATCGACACCACACAGACTTTAAATTATCCATAATAAAAAAAAGTGATATTCGTCCTTAGAAGGAAACGGCTCCTTCGTTGTTCGAAGGACCATGGGGCATTAATTATGGGCTTAAGTTTGTCTTTCGAAAGTGTAGGCCTACGCCTTACCGGTGACTTTTCAGTAGTCTTGGATGGAACATGAAAGCTAGCTAGCGTATACATGTAACAGTGTTAACATTAACGGCATGTTGTATTCTCAAAGAGATCGGACCTGAGCCAGACCTCTACTGTCTGTTTAATAACGGTAAGGCCAGGCACGAGAGTAGTGAGAGGGCACATTGTCATCCTGTAGTCAGCACCCTTGTTACAGAGGAGGAGGGGCTCAGGCAGATCTAAACCTAGTCAGGTGGCCTTCCCCTGTTTGGGGAACCTATCGACCCCCCAAAAAGTACCTTGTTAGGCAGCGGGGCTCCGGTGGCCCAATAGGTACGGTGTTCGCCTCTCTTTCGATAGGTTCCAGGTTGGGAACCTGACAGCGACGGAAAAAAATTTTTTCTAAAATTTTCACATTTCCCCTGCTTTAGTGCTGTCTTATCATGTTCTATGGTCTGCTTTTGCCTCCACTTTCTCAGACTTTCTTCCCCCCCCCCTTTCCTGCCACTCCTTGGCTCCTTACTGCTATCTTTCAGCGCAACCACTGATCTTATAGTCTTATAGTAGATAAGATCTAACACCTATCTAGAATTCTCGGATCAGGGCGGAAAATCTTTGATCGAGGTCCCTTGGGATCGATTACTTTTTGGTTACTTCAACCGCCACTCCGATTTCAAAATGGTTTTACAATACATGGAGAAAAATTCATTGTTTAAAATCGCGTCACAGGGAGAGATCAAGAATAGTATACGTCTCAGAATATCCCTAGTATGTACCCATACATCACAGAGAGAGAGAGAGAGAGAGAGAGAGAGAGAGAGAGAGAGAGAGAGGGAGGGAGGGAGAGAG